AAGAAGCAAGAGGCAAGGCTTGAACAACTGCTTAGTGGTGTAGCTGATACACCAATGAAGTCAGCCTTGGACTACGTCTTCAAAGGCGCTGAGATGGCGTTAAACCGGGCGGTTTTGTTGGAACAGGAAGTTCGAGAACTCCGCTGGGCAAATGAGAGGTTAAACACCAAGAAACGACGAAGAAATAAGCAGCTTACAGGCCTTAACGGCTTCACTGTTGACGAAGCAAGGGAGGCATTCCAACGCGAGTATGAAAAGGATAAAGCCCTTCAGATTGAGGATCAGAATCAGCCTCGCCGCCGGGCACCTCCCAGGTGCAGCGAGTGCGGTGTTCAAGGACATATACGTACGAAGTGTCCAAATCGAAGAACTGTGTAAAAAGACGTTCAAAATGGTGTAATTGAGGCTTCAAAACACCATATATTTGTATACAAATCAAAAATCCATGTTGGTGCTGCATTTGGTGGATCTGCTGGCTCGCTCGCTTGCGTGGCTCGCTCGGTTGACGATTACGTTATCCACCATACTCAACTATACCTTGAAACTGTATGCTAGATATTTCTCCGTCTTTTCTCAGCCAACCGAATTATTCTGACACAAGAGACTTCGTCACGCATGCAGATCGTCCCCGGCGGCCTTCTTGGCTTCAGCTTGGCTTCGCTTGGCGAGCTCATTTTGTATGAAGCCTACCGTTGATGCCCATGCCCGCGTCGCCTTAATCCCAGCAGTTCTGCCCGGAAGCTCTCCACTTCGATACTCTCTAACACATGGAAGCGTCAGCAACGCGTACACTCACTACTTTACTCGGAAATTCCGACGCACGAATCTAATATCTGTTTTACTAAGCGGAAGCAGACATCTTGAGGTCTCCAAGGTTCATTTTCTAAGGAAGAACAACAGTGCAGCGGGTGGGGATGAGTCGGTGTTATTTCCAGGATATTGATGAAAACCTCAAGCACGGGATTGGTTCTGGTCATCAGGGCATGAGAGAAAGTATCTTCGAGGCGAAGGTATAAAAGCCCTCGTCTTCCTGCTCCATTTCCTGGTCCATCAACAGCTCAAACCTCTTCCTTTCCAGTGCCACAGCGACTTGCTTCATCAACAGCTTCCTCCTCATCGTTCAACATGGTTCATCTGACCTCGTACCTGACCACCAGCGTGGTCCTGCTGGCCTCTCTGGGATCCGGCCATCCAGGCCACAGTGTCCAGGAGGAGGCCGCTGAACGCGCCGCCTTCCTCAAACGGACCCCTGTACAGTCTCGCAGCTTGTCTCACTGCGCATCCAGCCTGAAGGCTCGCGAGATTGAGGATGCCAATGTTGCCCGTCGTGGGGACGCCCTCAAGCACTTGCGCCAGGCGAGGGGATTGTCCAGTATGTGTCCTCGAATGTGCAATACCCTTACTGTGAGCCTCAACTAACAGCGCAGACAACCAATACCTCAAAGCCCGCGACCTGGACTCCGTTCTGGGTACAGATCATCATTCGAACCTGACTCATGTGGACCCTTCAACCGATCCCCGCATCCTCTTCGCGTCGGGCGGCACCTGCATCGTGCAGCCGGAGGTCACCCAGGGGCCATACTGTACGTCTGTTATGATTGACCTCTCTGCTCATAAACATCACACTGACATCGCACTTCTTTAGACATTGCCGGAGAACTCATCCGCCGCAACGTCGCCGAGGACCAAGAGGGCGTGCCCTTGTTCATCGACATTCAGCTCATCGACACCAACACCTGCGAGCCGCTGCGGGACATCTACACCGACATCTGGCACTGCAACGCGACCGTAAACACTTACCCTCTTTCTTTTGGAATGAGATAGCATCACTAACCTCTTGCTTTGCCACTACAACAGGGAGTATACTCCGGAGTCGTCGCAAGCGGCAACGGCAACCAAAACGACTCGAGCAACATCGACACGACTTTCCTGCGCGGGGTGCAGCCCAGCGGCCCCGACGGCGTCGTGCGCTTCGAGTCCATTTTTCCGGGACATTACACCGGCCGTGCGGTGCACATTCACGGTGCGTGCCTTGTCCACCCAATCCTTTCTTTGCATCTCAATCATGCATATTTCTGACCTAATGGGGGAATAGTGGTAACGCACCCTGCCAACGAAACCAAGATCCTGCCCAACGGCACCATCGCCGGCATCTACGACGGCCACTCCTCCCACGTGGGCCAGATCTTCTTCGACCAGGACCTGATCACCGAGGTCGAGAAGACGACGCCCTACAGCTCCAACACGCAGGATTTGACCCTGAACGCGGACGATTCCATTCTGGAGACGGAGGCGGATGACACCGATCCGTTCATGGAGTATGTTCTGCTGGGGGATAGTGTCTCCGATGGCATCTTCGCGTGGATCTCGATTGGGGTGGACGGCACACGCGATGACTCGCTTTCTCCGGAGGGGTTCTGGACCGAGGATGGTGGCGAGGTCAACGATGATTTCGTGATGAATATGGCTGGCATGGGGGATATAGGTGACTTCGCTTCTTCGAGTGGTGTTGCTGCGGCTGCTGCTACCTCTGCTTGAGGGCCAGCATGGTGAGAGATTGGCAAGCACGTAGGGGATGGTTACTACTTAGGTTTTCTTTCGTTATACTTCATCCTCGGGCGCTCGATTCGGGGGATTTAAGTCTGACTTGGAGTACCTCCCAGAACTGTTCTACCTGGATGAAGCTGTTTTATTGCTAAATGGATTATCAATGAATTGGAGCGGAGAGTCAATGTTAGATCGAGAGCATTTCTTGCGGATGTCACTCTTCGCTAAGTGGTTCATTCTATTAAGTTTCTGGCGTGCATCGCGATTCGTACGTTTGAAAGTGCAATGCTTGTTGATGAGGATAGTTCCCTTTAACATAGTAGCATCATATTAAATAGCGGTATTATCTTGATAGATCAGCAAGCCAGTTTCCATTGCGCCATATGCACTCAGTTGATCCAGGTTGTGATATGTAAGATAGTACATACAGCGTTCATGACCAGCCGGCATTGGTTTCGACAAGGTCATAATCGAGCCTCGGATCCAAGTCCTCATCCCAGTATGATCTGTCCCACCGCCACAGCAATACCTCTTTTGCTTCTGTCTCCATCCGCTCCGCATCCCAGAAGACATATCCCCAGCTCCGCAGTTCTGGCGGAATCCAATCTCCATACAGGTTACTGTAAGTGTCGTGCCAAATTAGAGTCCAAGCCCGTGGAGGGAACTCTTCCCTGGGGTCTGGGACATGATCGCCCCGAAACGGGAAAGCCTCGCGAGCTTGCGATCTCAAGTCCTTTTCGGCGAGGCCGTGCTCGTTCAGGCGATTCCAGAACCAATTTTCCGATGTCACTTCGTGTGGCCCGATGAAGCCCGATTCCGGCGTCAGCCTTTCTCGCATTATCTCGACCAGCTGCGCAGGATGTTCCGTGTCTTCCATCTGGCACAGGGCCCTCTGCAGCAGCCAGAGCCCCTGTGCGGTGGAGCCTTCGAGGTAGCAACATGTCATCAGTTCTGGTTTGTATCAACTTGAGGTTAGCAACAGCAGGAAAGACTCGTAGTTTTGGGGTTATCACTAAGCAAGACTTGCCTTTATCACCCGATTCATACTCGAACGGGTCAAGGCCCACTCGGACCACGTCAAAGATGTCGGGGTATAAATCCTCCACGAAAGTGTGAACGCAAAGAATCTCCTCAATCTCCCAAGCGTAGAACATGGCCTCGAGGTGCTGCAGGATGTCCACGTACCCAAGATGATACGATTTCTTACTCCAGGGAGAATCACCACGTGGGTTTCCGAATAGATAACAGCAAAGCTGGAACCGATAGAGCGCGCGAATAATCCGACTCTCCTCAGTAGAGCTTATCTTGGGTTGCATTGGTGATCCTAGTTGTATGAGTCCGAGCTTTGCCTCTCCGGGAAGGTTCGCCTGCATCCAAGCGGTGAAGCGCGGGACAAGAAGTAGTATGACTGTGTAGTGAAAGCGTAGGATGCGGGAGAGTTCATCCGATGTGGACTTTGTGGTCTTGGGCGGCGGCTCTTGGGATCGCAGGCGACCGAGTCTGTACTCTTCGACCATTTCCGCGATGTTCTTCTTGGTGCGTGCTTTGGCGGACTTGACAAGACCAGAGCAGTACACAGCTTGAGCCTCTGGTATCAAGTCTCGCAAGGAGTCAGTCACTAAATCCCATAGCACTTTCTTGCCACCTTGCAGTACTCGGTAGTGTACAGGCGATGCCATTGTCAAGGAGGTCAGGTCTTCGTAAGATAGACAGGACAGAATGAGAGTCTGAATTTCGACAGGAAGGGTTCCGATGGAGAACTGGCTCCGCGGAGTTGTGGGTTTTGACAAGGACGTTGCAGAGGATACTAGCGGCTGAGCAGGCACGGTCTCTAAGAAAGAAAAAGACGACAGCGAAATTTTTTTGATGACATGCAAGCGCGCGACGGCAGGTTCTTCTGGGATGACTTTTGTACAGACTTTAAGCTTACCCCAGATCTTTTTGATCTTGCTTTTGCTGCCATTAACCGAGCGCCGCCATCGAGAGACGCGAGGCCTAGGCCACGGCATGCTGAAGGAGAGAGAGTAAAATAATCAACAGGCTAGAGAGTATTCTGATGGTGGACTTGTAGGATTTGATGAGAAAATGAGAAGGAGAAGGAATATGAAAAGGATAAGAATGAGAAAGACAGAAGAGTGAGGGAAGAGAGAAGGCTAGAAGAGAGTAGAGAAGAGGGGAGAGGGAAGAGGGAAGAGTTTACCAGGAAGAACTCTAATCTGCGCTGTGTGAAGGTGTGAATGTGTTTCTATACTGTCACCCTGGTCCTTTTGCATTTAGTGAATATAGCAGGAAGGTGGCTAAGATTAGATCGATACTCAGAGTGCAAGGCCGAGCAAGATCATGCTCCTCTACACATATCTCTAACTACGCTTTGAGATCATACGAGCCAATTTGACGACTGCTGCGCGGAATCTCCTTGTTATTACGATATACTTTCTACGTTCAAGCGATGCGTGCAGACAAGGGTCCATTCAAGGGCGAGGCCGTCTTTAAATGGGTCGTACACGAGCTTTCGCCGGTGGAAGAATCGCGAATGAGCTCGATAAGGATCTTATAAACGGAGCGCTGGAGATTGGTGCCTTGAAGTCATGGCTGGCGAGCATAAATCCCGCGGAATACGTTTGTCCTACATGGCCACCGGCTATAAAGGCTGCTCGTGCAGCTTACAAACACCTACATGACAAGTTCAAGCGCAAGAGAGTCATATTTCAACGCGTGCAGTCGGACCTGGCCAGCTACACCGATCCAGAAGACCATTTGCGCCGCGCCCTGGCGGCCGTAGATTGCGCGGAGGCGGCGTTGAGGTATTTTCTGACTCCACGGTTTCTGATATTTGTGTCCTTGTCTGTATTTAACCAGCCTCCTTGCTCAAAAGAGCGGCAGAAGCAAGAATATATGTGCTCAAATCGTACCGTCAAGCATACCCATATCCTAGAGGGATTCTAGGACATATCACAGAGGCAGAGGAAATGATCAGGAGTGGACGCATCGCTGTCAGCACCGTCAAAGACGAAATCGAACGTAAGTGTGTCAGTTCTGTGCGTGGTATAGCGCTACAATACAAACGGGCCATGGCTGACTCCATCTTGGTAGTTATGTGGGACCGGAACAGGCGCGCTATTCATGACGATGTGTTCAAGTGATCGGTCTGCCTTCTCCCTCCTTGCGCCTACTCGATCACCTTGCCTTCGTACACATACATAGTGGATACAAGAGGATGCTCACCAAGAAGAAACGTTGGTATTGGGCTTGGTGGAAGGTGGAACCGTGGTCTCAGATGGTTCATAGAAGCTGAAGTGATCTTATCCTGTCCCAATTTGCTGCACTATTTGAAGGTGAACCCACTGCCTCTATCATCAGCGATCCGTATCTCGCTCATCTGTAACACGACTGACAAGGTTAACTGACAGTTTAGGTCAAGTGAGGCCTCAATGAGCTCTTTGAGAAAGGAAAAAGAGGCCAAGAATGGTAGACCTTGGATTCTTTGGTAAAGGAAGTCAATTCAAAGGGCTAAGACATCATGTTAACGTCAGATGAAGACTACGCATAAGAGCTATCAACTGACAGATAATTATGATTTAGTATTCAAAGAAATGATCATAAACCTACAAATCCCAATCCGAACGATGTTGCCCACAGAACGGCCAAAAGTATAGTGCACCACTGGCTCTCGTCTTTGACATCATCTTTGCTTTTTGATAATCCCAACTTCACACAGCTAGGAACTTACCCCCGCAAGATACCTGCAAATGGTGTCGAAATAGCAATGGTTGCATGGGTACGAAGATTCCTCCTTACGTGGTATACCTATCCTTTGCACTCAGTCAAACCATGACACAGCACAAGATAATACACTGAATTGATTAAAAAATTAACAATCCAAGTTATAGGCTCCCGCAACACATCCGCGCTCCGTTCCCTCAGTCCAAACACCGCCCAACAACGGCCAAGGCATCAACAGAATCTAAGCACGGCGAGCAAAGTCCCGGGCATGCACACCGCTGGACCGCGAGACAAGTGCACCGAAGATAGCGCGAATATCGTCCAAAATCTCGGTAGGGGTGGTGGGCGAAGCCAGCGCTACCGAGGCAGCCGTGGCTGTTGTCGCAACCTCCACTGCCACCTCAGTAGTTACTGAGGAAGCAACAGCCGAAGTCACGGCCACAGCAGCAGTGGTGACGGAGCTGGTCGCTGCGGAGGAGACAACGGCGGGCTCAACAGTTGCAACTGTCTGGGTGGCAGAGGTAGTAGCCGAGGCGGCAGTGCTGGTAGTAGCAGCGGCAACGGTGGTGCTTGAGGTAGCCTCCACGGTGGACTGGGGAGCGGAGGAGGTCGAAGAGCTGGCAGAGCTGACAGAGCTAGACGTGTCTGCAGAGCTGGAGCTCGAGCTCGAGCTCGAAGCGCTGCCCGACCCAATCTCCTTCGTGATCGGCGACTCCTCGATATAAATGCCAGACCAGAACCAATCCTCCGCCGCATCGTTCGAGGCTCCGCTGCCAGGCAGGCGCAGCTCGCCGACGTGCCAGTCGGCCGAGTTGGACGAGGCGGACGCGCTGACGGGCGACACAACCTCAGTCAACGGGTCGGAGCCGTTGGACGCCCACAGACCCACCGTCTGCGCGTCGAAGTCGATATCGTACGCAAAGTTGTACCAGTTGCCGGCCTCTAGCTGCACGGACCAGTGGGTGTTGCCGCCGGCGTTCCAGCGCAGCGTGTTGTCGGAGGACCCGGATGCCCCCGAGGCCAGACCGTACTGCAGCTCGGTGAAGTGGCTCTCGAAGAAGGCGATTTGGTGCTCGAAGGAGGCATTGGGCGCGTTAGTCGTCTTGGTCGACAGGGAGAAGTGGTAGTAGAGGTGGCCGGAGCCGAGGTCGGCCTTGGTTTGGGGGATCAGCTCGGAGCGCTCCATCGTTTGACCTTCCCAGTAAGAGGTGCCGTCCTATCGCGATAGATGTGTCAGCTCGCGTAGTCTCGTCCTCATGAGTAGGAATTGGCATACAATGCTGATGCGCAGGCCCTGGGCGTCGCTAGTGTCGGCGGGGTTCTTGAAGTCCGTGGACAGACCCAGGTAATCCGACGTGTTGCCGGTGCCATGGATGTACCATTGCCACGGTTCAATCTGGTTGGACCACGACCCTATTCTGTCAGCTGGAGGCTCATGGCGACCGGGGAAAGGGTCAAGTCACAATCATCAAAGTCCTCGACGGTGGCAGAAGAGTTGAAAATGCCGCTCCACAACACGGTTCCAGCCAGCGAGGAAGCGGGAAAAGCGAGAAGGCAAACGAAAGACTTCATAGTGAATGAAAGGCGAAGGAGTGACGAAGAAAAGCAAGAGAATGGAAGGTGTGACCGGCACAGTTGGTTTGCAAAATGAGCTGTGGGCTGAGGAGTCTTTTTATCTTCACGGTCCTGGTTGCGGTGGGGAGAATGGAAAGTGGAGCGGGTGTCAGGGTTAGATTGACGGGCGTGTGCTGAAACACCCGCACGCTGGCTCCCCGTTTCACCTTAAACCAAAGGGTCTCAGTCTCGACCCTGACAGCTCGACACTGCAATTAAACGCTGCTCTGCCTTTGAGACATTGCCTGTCATTGCTGGTTCGTGGTCAATTGTCCTTCCGGTCGCACTCACTAACATCTCCACCGAAAGAAACAGAAAATTGAGGGAAAATTTCTCGCATTGACCATCACTTGTCTCAAACATATATGCCGCCAAGCGACGTGATCACTTATTAAATACACAATCATGCACAACTCCTTACAACGCCAATACGGCCGCCTTGAGCTTGGCGAAGTTAGGAGTTCCTAAGCCGGTGGTCGGATCCCAGCCCGCAGTGGCATTCCAGCTGGCCCACGGGATGTAGCCTGTCCCGGCCGAGCTGCCATCACATCCACCCGCCGTACCCGAGGTAATGTCATTCAAGCTCTTGTATCCACTGGAGTACAGCCAGGGGTTCAGGAAGCCCAGAGACGTCTTCCCCGCGCGCAGACGAGCGTCGTTGAGCAGCGCAATGATGGCAGCGACAACGGGACTGGCGCCCGATGTACCGCCGATGAGCTCGAGTTCACCGTTCACATAGGTTTCATAGCTGATTTAATCGTTAGATTCAATTTCATCATGTCGACAACCGCCACTCAAGGGGACTTACTATGGCGAACCACCATAGGCGGCAATGTCCGGGAACGCGCGCCCGGTAAAGTTGACGTACGGAGTGTAGTATTCCTTAACCGCCTTGGAGAGGTGCTTGTCCAGGTAGGTCTCGACCTGGTCAGCTTGGTAGGATGGACGAGCGAAGTAGTTGCTGAAGCCGCCGCTGCTGTCCACCCAGGCGATCTCGGGGATGTCCTGGGTACCACCCACGGCAGTGATGTAGGGACATGTGCCGGGGAACTCGGGGGTGAATTGAACGGTGTCGGTTCCGTCGTTCGAGATACAGGCCTCCCCAACGCCTGGTCATTGTTAGTCGATGGATTGCACGGTTGAACGCAGGAAACTCACCAGAATCACCAGAGGATTCCAGAACCGAGATACCGCGTAGGCCAATCAGCCCGATGAGGTTGCAGACGCGCGTGGCATAGGCATATGGGACAGTCTATATGGTCAGTCGAAGCACTACTATGACGGTGGTTAAACGTACATCCTCATCGTCACCGTAGGAGTTGGTGATAACCTGCGGGAGCTCGTCGTTGGTCTTGTTAAGCAGGTACTCATAGTATTCCACGTAGGGCTCGTTGGTATCCGTGGTCTCCAGTACGTTAGGAATGAAGGGACTGCCGTCTCGTTAGCCTCCACCTTCAGACTCGTCTACTGGGGTTAACATACGGAGATCCAGCAGTGATGAATTCGACGACAGGCAGGGGATGCGAAAGGCCAACGATGTTCTGCACATCCAGATCGGCTTCACCTCCGTCCTCCTCCTGGTTGTTGACGCCACCGTTGATCAACTCCACGGTGAAGTTCTGCTGCGGAATACCGAAGCGCTCGGTGAAGAGGTCGAGGTCTGAGTACAGGGCGGACTCGCCCAAGAAGCTTCCGAAACCGATGCGGCTGCCGGACGAAGCCTTGGGGGTGTAGTCGATGTTGTACTGCTCCTTGAGCAAGGTAGGGGTGATATACTGGCTGGCGCTGCTGGACCGTCTGGCCACCTTCACGGCCTGGAAGGCGGCAGCGCGCTCGGCGCGCGTCTTGCCGAAGAAGACGGTGGGGGCGATCAAGTCGATCGACCCGCTCAAGCTGTCAGGCACCGAGTACTGGGTGGTGCGCACCTTCTGGGTGCCGGCCTTCTCGTAGACGGAGAAGGTGGTGTTGAGCAGCTTGTTGGCGGTCCCGACGGTGGTGGCAAAGCTGATCAACCCGCCCTGGTGGGAGATGTCGGTGACGCCCGCCTCGGTGAGCCAGGAGATGACCGTCGAGTGGTCGGCCAGAGGGAACTGGGCGTTGACTTCGTCCGCGTCGAGGTACTGGCCGTAGGTGCTTTGGCCCGGGGTGGAGACGGACAGCAGCTTGGACTCAAGTTGGTCCAGGTTCTGACGCGTCAAGGCCACGGAAAGAGTAATGTTCGAGCTGGTGTCGGCTTCCTCGACAAGCGACCAGCTGCTGGGCACGGCCTGGATCTTCTCCAGCACCACGTTGCCCAGAGCAGGGGCGGCCACGGCCAACAGGCCGGTAGAGATGCGCGAGAAGGCGACCATGATGAGGGGAGATCCAGCAACGGAGAAAGAGACACTGGGGGAGAAGGGCGAAGAGCAGACAGGCAGCGACGGGGCCGCCGCCTGTTATAAATCTTTTGTGAGGTGATGAGGCCATTGCGGGTGGATTGATTGCTCCGACGGGGAGCGGTGCAGCCCCGGGCATGGCGTGCACAGTAAATGAGGTGTGATGCAGGAACCAGCCCAATCCGACTCTTGTTCTGCAGATTCGTCATACTCTTTGCCGAGTGCCAAGCCGGATCTAAGCTTCCTTTCCGCTTGCTTATCAGTGAAGGATTATCTTCGACAACTTGGCTTCCTCGGCTCGGTTCTGTCATCTTTCTCGGGCATTGCAGACAAACTCTCTTGGCCAACATTCAGAAAACCTTTGACATTGCGGGAATCATAGAATTTGTCCGTTTTCACTTCTTACCATGTTGGACACTGATTGAGCACCTGAGACAGCAGCAGGCAGTTATCTTGGCGCGTCGGAGCGAGGCCGGAGTCCGGTGTATCGCGCCATTGCGAGGCGGGGTCTTCAGCGGCTAGTGTGGGACAGCTGCAGGGGAGGTTGCATTGACGCACATCCAGGTAATTAATTTCTCTGCAAGAGATAATGGCCTCAGTCTGATGGCATCTGACGCGAGGGACTGGTATTCCAGCGCATGGGGGTCACCTGATCGCAGTGCAAACGTTGCAAACAAACAATGTTGCCCAATTGATCGCAGATATGTGTTCCTGCGGTACTGCTGGGAATAGTTCCTTTAGTCGGATGGTCGAATAATCGATGGGGATGAAGATGGGGATATACTGATGGTATTGATTGTTCGGATGGGCAATATGGAAACAATCTCTTCAATCCTTGAAAAGTGTGTGAACTTGTTGCGGGATGTGGCTTAATGACCCGGAGCGGACGGGAGTAAAAGTAATATAGTAATTTTATTATGAACATCAATTACATCAATCACTGAAAACATAGAAAGGGAATCCAGCAGGGCTCCGTCTGCATTTATATGTACGGAAACCCTTATCGCACGGCAAGAGAGAGTGAGAGTTGCAAGTTAGAGAGATATCTACCCCTATCAACTCCGCAACATGTTGCACCTTGCACAAAATATATGTCTGACACGCTAGTCAAACATGAAGTCATAGGCGCTTAGGATCTGAATCCCTTCTAATGCAGATTTTCCATAAATACACGAAGCATAAATTCTCTTCCGGATTGTTTCTGTTCGAACTGTTGGAAGATGTGCATATTGCGATAAGTCGGATGGCTATACCCTGCGGACAGTAGCGCATCTAATCCAAGTATCGGTCGGGAAGATTTTCTTTGTTTTAATGCGAAACCGGGAACCCCCTGCTGCGTATTCACATTATGCAGCTGTTCGAAGGTCCTCTTCAGTGTATGGCCCAGTTCGGGGAGCACGCATGGCTCCCTGAGTTCAAGAATACAGGGTTCGCAGTCAGATGACAAGACGGATGGAACCTGGTAGATGCTCGGTAGGACCGCAAGTGCATATCAGCAAACCTGTTGACTGCCGAGAGCTCTGCAGTTACGATACTTATGAACACTATTCTACAGGGCAATTTTGAAGGGTTTGATGTCCACATACTCAGTAGTTGGTTAGAAAAGGTACGACTGAATATCGTACTGTGAGAACGTGATGGCACCCATTGCGAAAGATAGCCGGCTAGGGTACAATCTAGACAATCGATTTCTTCCTACGGCGGATCTTCGAAGAATTCAACATCACTGTGCCAGGCAAAGGCAATCGTCGAAGTTGTCCATATTCGCATAACCATATTCGCATAATAAGAATACCAAAAGAAAAGGTCAAAGGCGGCTAGTTTACCCTGGTTTCAAGAGCAATGGAGTTTTACCATTCGTTACACATGAAGTGAAGAGCAAGCAAACATAGGGCCGCAAGAGAATGTATGGCTCGGGGAGATGCAAACAGGACAATTATCAGTTTCTATGCCGCAGACCAAACACATCCTGTCTGCCCGAAACAAACTACTTTAAAAGAAGGTGGGTACAAACGTTGTTTCTGGCCAACCATAGAAACGTTCAATAATATGGTATAAAGTATCTATTGGCGCACTCTGGCCGAGGCTAGAAACCTCTCATGTCTGCGCGCGACGCGCCAGCGACGCAGGCTTACCGGGCAACAACGTAGCAGTTTAGAAAGGGCTGGGAGGTTCGAGGTTAGATCTTCAGTTCTTGCCTCAAACACTCGTGCCAAGCATCCACATTGGTTATTCGCTGATCCATTACGTAGTATATACAGCCAGTCGGCATGGCAGGGTGTGCAAATAATAGGCGTCGGGACGCAACCTTGCATACATTTGTAGTTTGAGGAGTGTGCGGGGTGTGGCGCCCGTAAGAACAGGGTGCAAAACTCAGGGAGGTTCAAGCAGTACATAGAGGGATCGTAATTATTTGTTGGAGCGCTTGCAGAACGGGCGAAGAGAACACAACAACGGGGCAATTCCCGGCGATCAGACAGACAGTGGCGAGCTGGGTAGGCCTTGAATGACCTTGTGGGGTAAAGTGAATGGGTTAAGTCTCGCAGCTAAACTAGACATCGTCACACCCCGGCTCACCTTGTTTACTCACACATCTGCGATCTACAAGCTGAATAGAGGGGTGCTGCACAATATGAACACATGCAGCTGCGTAACCTATAACAGTCCAATCCAGTGCATAGAGGTGGGGGGAGCTGAAAAGGACCCGCAGATCCCCGCCCCACTCAGCTCTATCTTGTAGAGATCTACAACACCTCATCAGCCTTCGACTATGTCATGCACGAACACGAATTACTTCTCGGCGAGTCGGATGGCAAATCAATCCAACATGGATCGACGAACCGTCCAGGAAATGGAGTAACCTGGTGTGGGGGCGGGGGCCTTTGCGTATGCATCGCTAAACGCATCGAGTAAAGATCATTGGTCTGTCAGCTAGCCATAGTGGTCTGCCCCCCTTTCTGTAAGGCATTCACACATGGTTTAGGCTGAATATGCTAGCAGGAAATAATGTTGGTTGTGACTTTTATAGAGAGAAATTGAGTTTATACGCGAGGAACTCTGTAAATCGGGACATTATTTAGTAGTGTAAAACTACAGCCATCGAGATGGGGCATGTGGCTTAGAGGTGTAATGTGCAAGGTAAAGAGCTGAAATCCGAGAGTGTGGAGGAGGGGTTGTATCGATCTGCAACCCTCACTAGACACGATTGCAACGGAGCTTGAAGGAGAATGACTACATCATGCATTTTCGCAGCCCACCATGAGCTGGCTCTGGTGGAGTAGGTGTCAAGTCGGACGCATTGAGGCACACCGGACAAGGATAAACCTGATAGGTGATACGAGGCGACCTGAATAGAACCGGCTGAGCAGACCCCGAAAGACTGGATATTGTTATAAAAACCGCATCAAACCCAGTATTGATTCCAGTCTTCATCATCTTTCCAGAGCCGGGAGAGTCTCCGACAAAAGCTCATCCATAATGGCAGATGCACCTCCAGTCCTAGCTCATGCTGAGCGCGGCGAAGACCAAATCACCAACCAAAATGTGATCAACAATTATTTCATCGGCCCACGGGCTGCCAATATGCCTGATTTCAGAGCGAACATCAACACCATTCTCGATGAACTGCTTGAAACCAGGCTTGATTACTACCCCGAGGATCATGTATTCGTCTTCCCTCCTCTGCTGTTTCGCATTGACTGACCCTTTGAAAGAGCCAGAAGTTCATCACCAAGGATGTCCGTAGATCACCGGAGTTCCAAAAGGTCAGGGACAACTTCAGTGATGTCGTCCGAAAAGTGGCCCAGCTGCTGGGAGAGCACTCGGTGCCTTTCTGGTCTCCCCGCTATGAAGCCCACATGTGCACCGACTTGACCATGCCGTCCTTGTTGGGTTACTTCATGACGATGCTGTACAATCCCAACAACGTCGCCCTCGAAGCCAGTCCCATGACCACCGTCGCGGAGTTGTTGGTCGGACAGCAACTGGGCGAGCTGTTCGGATACAAAACTCCCCTCACGGTAGATCCTCATAGAGAAAGACAGAATGAGCCAGTGTCATGGGGCCATATTACCTGCGATGGCACGGTCGCAAATCTCGAATCAATCTGGGTCGGTACGTACTAATTTCCCCTCAGGAACTCTCCTAAATCAAGCACTGAGATGTGACTAGCGCGAAACCTGAAGTTCTACCCTCTGGCTCTTCATCAAGCCATCGTGAACGGGAACCTGAATTTCATCGCGGATCGGTTCGAGGTCGAAACCTGTAGGGGCGGGACAGAGAGATTTGCACGCTTAGCAACCTGGGATCTTCTCAATCTCAAGCCCAAGACTGTCCTCGATCTGCCCGATCGGCTGTACCGAGATTTTGGCATTTCGAGCGACTACCTCCAGAATGCCTTGGAGCCTTATAACATCCAGTCAGCGGGTCTCTTGCATGAGGAGACCGACGAGGCCCACCACTTTTACAGGAGTCTCAAGGCGATGAAGTTCATCGTGTCGAAGACGAACCATTACTCCTGGCCGAAGGGACTTGGTATGTAAATGCCCTAGTCGGCCAAAACGTTTTTCACGAAGGACCGCAAAGCTAACTAATCCAGCCATTGCCGGGTTGGGCTCGGCGAACCTTCTCGAAATCGAAGTAGACGACGACGCTCACATCGACCTGGCGCAATTGAGGGCTACCCTGAACGAGTGCCTTGAGAATCAGATCCCCGTCTATGCGGTGGTGGCCGTGATTGGATCCACTGAAGAGGGTGCTGTCGACCGGCTGTCGGAGATTGTGCGAATTCGAAACGACATGCAAGAGAAAGGTCTGTCTTTCCTTGTTCATGCGGATGCTGCCTGGGGAGGCTACTTTGCCACCATGCTGCGCCGAGGCCTCCGGGGTCCTGAACGGGGCGATGCCGACAGAGGCGCAGTGCCAGCCTTGACTCTGCGCAAGGAGACCGAAACCGACCTCTTGGCTCTTCGCCATGCGGACTCGATCACGGTCGACCCCCACAAGGCTGGCTATATTCCATACCCGGCAGGGAGCCTGGTGTACAGAGACGGTCGGATGCGATACTTGGTGACTTGGTCCAGTCCCTACCTGTCGCAGGGGTCGTCGGAGAATATAGGGGTATATGGGGTAGAGGGAAGGTGAGTTCCTCCCGTGACTGCTCCAGCGAGGGTGCACTGACTAACCATCCATCCATGGTGGCTCTTGCAGCAAACCTGGCGCAGCTGCCATGTCAACGTGGCTCTCTAACCAGACGATTGGTCTGGATCCCGACGGATACGGGAAGCTGCTGGGTCAAGCATCGTTCACCAGTTCCAGGGTAGGTTCCTCGCGAGCGAGTTTCTCGATTCTCTGGGCTGACACTTTGGCAGCTATCGGTGCGCTATGCAGTCCACAGTGACTTCAGGCAGGAGAACAGAAAGGACTTCATCTGCGTTCCGTTCAATCGACTGCCCCGGGAGCATGATGGATACGCCTTCAACTCCTCAGAGGTTGAAGCCGACCGGGATCTCATTCGAATGCGCATCCTGGGACAGCAGAACGAGGCCCTCCTGCAGGACCCTGTCGCAATGAACCTGCTGCGCCAACTGGGCTCCGACACCAACATCAACGCCTTTGCCCTGAACTTTTACGTCGACGAGGCGAAGACAACCTTGAACACCGACATTGAAGAAGCCAACTACTTGATGAAGAGGGTCGTTGACCGGCTTTCCATCACGGGGGTGGACACCGACCCAACCAAGATCCCCGTCTATCTGACCTCGACCAAATTTGAGCCCAAACACTATGGCGCGTGCGCAAAGACCTTTATGCGCAGATTGGGGCTCACCGAGGTCGACGAGGACCTGTTCGTCCTGCGCAACGTGGTCATGAGTCCCTTCCCCACCAAGCACTACTTTATCGGTACGCTCTGGGACGAATTCGAGCGGGTCGTCAATGAAGAAGTCCAACAAGTCCGGAAGCGCAACGACCCCTCGGCACACAAGGCCCAATTCCTCCTGCAAGGGATCGAGCAGTCCGGAAAGACCTTCCTAGTCTTGCAAACCTCGTTCCATACTGCCACTCTCCGCCAGCAACTCATAGTCCGCGCCACCCTCAGCCCCGACCTCGAGCAGAAATATCGGGACTGCAAGAACCAAAGCCCAGAGACATCTCTCCTCTTAGTGTCCCAGGATGTCATCAATCTTCAGCAGGGCATTCGCGATCTTCCTCACACGGACTTAACGTTCAACGCAGAGATCTACGCGAAGGTGGACTATCTCCGCCAACACGAGAACCCCGACTTGTATGTTCCCTACCTGCTTGGTTCATCTCGGTAACAAATTCCAATACTAACGGCACATTCCAGGGAGTTGCGCGCCTTATCCGCAGGGGAGGTCACGATCACCAGGGACGACATCATCAAGAGCCGGCCGTTGAACGTGGTGAACCGAGACCCAAAATATCCAGAAACGGACACCCGGTTCTATCTTTACGGCACGCCGGCGCAGCAGCATATTTCCCACGTGCTGGTCCGGTCTCCGAACGTCGCCCTCTCCGCCGCCAACGTCTCCTTATCCCCAGACCCGGGTGTAGAAGACAGCATCAGTGCCGACGATCTCGCCAATGGCTTGATCCTCGCCTTGGCCGATCACCCCGAGGTCGCCATGCAGCCCGTCACCGGAAAGGTCTCCGCGACCGCAGATGTGCCCGGCGACTTCTTCTTCAGCAGTGGAAGGCAGTTCAAGGTCAACGTCTGGAAGGACCCCAACACTGGCGACGCTCAGGGTCCTGGCTACTGAACGGTCTGGGAGAACCCTTCTGGACTGGCACATTGACTCTGGGCGAGGACCTGGACTATGATTCCGACTGGCCCAACAAGGACCCGGCCGCTGTTGCGAAGGTCGATTCGGCTCACTGGCGTGAGGAGCTGCTGAAGATCGGCAACGTGCTGAATGCCAAATACAGGGATCCCGCTGAATAGCCTGCGACTGAGGGGAGGTACTGCTGAGGTCACTGTGCTGCGGGCGATATTCCGGAACGGGAAGGTTGAGGCTATTCGTGGTGCTATAACGATGGCTGGATAAAAATCCGAGCGATGAATTTCACTGAAGCTAGTTCGAACGAAAGAGAGATGAGGGTGGGGAAAGAGGAAGAAGTAACATGGAAGCAAGAGGGGAAGAAAGACCATCGTCTTCCAGCTAAGGCATAGTCGCTTCCCCGCCCGTACGGCCTCAGTACTTACAGTTCCAAACACCACAATATTAAGGATAGTTATATGTACGGAATTCAGTCCAACTCACACGATCGACTCTTTTATTTTCGGGGTCTGATAAATCAGGGCAGTCAGTGGTTTTGATACTTCGATACTTCGCTATACCAAGAAACAGCACCCCCAATGTCCAGCCACAACATGGATTAATGCATGGCTACTTATGATGTGAACAGGCCTTTCACAAATGTCAACAATGTTTCATGTCAGCTTCCCCCGCGTAATAGCTATGATGGTGAATAATAGGATCTGATGCCCTACCATCTCATAGTATGCGTAGCGTAAGACTAAGAATTCTACTGTGGTTAGGAAACCTATACAAGGGGAGTCGTAACCTGCCCCCAACATCGCGAAGAAGCAATGCACTGATCTGATCGTCATCATCAAGCTCAATTTCAAGATTGCTACTAGCTACGATAACAAAGAAAAGCTCAAGCACACTGAAAAGCCAGAAAGCTCGCCACACTCCCCTCCGGCTGCGTGCAGGACTTCCATACCAGCCGAATATCCACCCCCTGCACCAGCGCGACGATATCATTCTTGTTCCGCTCTCGACCCCCGAACAGCGCCAGCAAACGGCAATCCATGTACCGCACGATTGCTTCTACCTGACCCGAGGAAGACCCTACTTCTGGGACGACAATGTCCGCGATGAGAACCCACACGCCGGGCCGCAGGGCGGGCGACAGGTTCGCTATGATTCGACAGACGTTCTCATCCGACCATTTATGCAGGATAAAACGCAGGAGGAAGCAGTCCGCTGAAGTGACAGGCTGGGGCTCGAAGAAGCTATGGGCGAGGTATTCGATCTTGTCCGCGTAAGCTGGAGGCAGTGTCCGGCGGCCCTCGCTGATCACGTCGGGCAGATCCTCGACAATGCAGTGGAGGTGAGGATGTGATTCGGTGAGTGCCATGCTAACATGGCTCGAGGAGCCGCCAATCTATGAGCATCCTCGTTAGCGCATCTGACTCGAGAAGCTGGAGATAATTTCACTTCTTACATCAACAAGAGTCTGCACGGTCGACCAGTCCAATCCCCGCACGGTGTGCAAGGATGAGTAATACGCACTCCGCGTCGTCGCCTTTATATAGTCATGAAAACCAAGCCTCAGCTTCGGGTTCGATCGGTGATAGTCCCAGATATTGGTGACTTGCTTCTCTGGGGAAGCGTATACCACATTGGCGGCGCAGCGCGAGTTGTCGCTGGCGGTGGGATTGACCTTGAGCCCTTAGTAGATCTTGCTGGCGACGTGGAAGGTAACGTTCAGGTTCCACATGCAGCTGCGCGTGGCAACGGGGTCGTGCACGCGTAGTGCCGACAGCGGAGTGTGACCAAACATCTCGGGCTCGACCTCCTGTAGGAAGCCGTAGCTTACCGTATATCGAATCAGGCGACGGAGGGGGTCTCTTCCGAGACCGGAGAGGAGTTCGAGGACGATAGCGGCTAGGGGTTCATGGAGAGGGATCAACTGGGGAATGCCGAAGTTCATCAGTGCCCGGATTGCCCTGGCCTGGAAAACCTATCAGAAATGATGCATTAGCACTTGGAATTGTGGACCAGTGCATCTGATAATGAGGTTGTGAGCTACCTCGGACATCATATAACAGAGATCGTAAGGCCCAGTCACCAGACGGACCACCGCTTCGATACGTCAATGACAGCCAGACGCGCCTTGGAGGCATCCTCGTTCATCCGACATAGATCAGCCAAGCAGCTTCCGAGCGAGTTGTGGTCTTCGCGTCGCTCTTGCTGCTTCAGAATTTCTCCATTCTCCGCGATCTTATCGACCAATTGCTCGAGGGCTCTGCGGGTCATTGTCAAGTCACGTCTCCAGGCAGAAGCTGTGGGATGCGTGGACGAAGAAGAGCATCCCACTTCTTCTATCGTCTTGCATACCACCTTTATAGATGCACGAGAGCTACTGATGGTTCAGCAATGAATCACGACCAGAGTGAGGTGTCGAAGTCGCATAAGCCACCCGCATCATCGACCCGTCCAGCCGGCCGAGATGCCGGCTAATGGCTCATCCCACCGCCAGCTCAAGTCTGGATCTCATTGCAGCTGCAAGACCAAGCGAACCCGTTGTGACGGAGGAGGGGCAAAGTCAATCCGCTTCGAAGTCAAGGTACAGCAGATCTGGAAGTCAATCAGAAGCTTGAGGGACGGGGAGGACGGGGAGGACGTCGACTGGGGGTTTCCTGCGGAATCGACTATTCAGCAATTAATCTCGAAGTCAGTCAAGCCAGATAGGATGGCTTCATTACAAAGTTGTGGGACCTGCCAGGCAAGGGTGAACAAAGTCGTCCGGTGTTGAGTCTGACTATCTTGTGACTTCCACGACCACACTCACCAACTATCCTGGATGGGGAAACAGAAAAGCACTCGCAACCAGGAATCAGCTACCAAGGAGGCGACTGACATTTGAGTCGAGACTCGACGCACGTGCAATCGGACTGCGAAGGAGAGCAGGAGGGTGGAAGTGTTGGTGTGAGATGCTTGAGAGGTTGAGGAAAGTGATGAGAAGATGAGAAGGTGAAATGGAAAGCGCGACAGTCACGTGGCGGTCTGCTTCAGGGTCACTGCCACCATGAAAATGACACAATTATGGGAGAGAAAAAGCGATAACAGCTCAGCTAGAGAAATCAGGGTTACTGCGAAGACGAGCTGCGAGCTGAGATTGGTAAGCAACTGCTACCCCACCCTGCATGGTATGGTACGGTAAAGTACAGTAAGCTCACGTATGCATCGCTCTGCGTAAGCATAGCAGCATCCTGTAATTACTGACAGTGAGTGGCTGATACCTACACAGATATCGGCCTCGGTAGTCCGTCTATGTTGGACTGATCAGTAATCAAATTTGTAATCCGGCGTCTCCTGCCACGGATAACTGGATTAGGGTGGTATATGGGGATCATCTTCACCCCTGATCAATCTCCACAAACCATTCTTCCTCTCATTTTTGGGAGTAACCTTGTAATCTTATTCCATAATGAACTGGACGGACAAGCCACTTCGAGCCATCACTCGTCCCCGAGACCCAGAACCAGGCACCGAGCCACTGCAACCCCCGCCCGACGGAGGCTTCCAGGCATGGACGCAAGTCCTCTGCATGCACTTTGTCTTCTTCAACTCCTGGGGCGTGAGCAACAGCTTCTCCATCTTCGAGCAGCTCTACACCGAAACCCTGCCCCAGTCCGCCTCGACCATCTCCTGGATCGGCAGCGTGCAGGTCTTCCTTCTCTTCTTCGCCGGGGCAGTGGTCGGCCGCGCCACTGACGCAGGCTACTTCCGTCTCGTCTTCGCGCTGGGAGTCTTTCTCCAGCTGCTCGGCGTCTTCATGCTCTCCCTCTCCAAGTCCTACTGGCAGATCTTCCTGACGCAGGCCGTCTGCATGGGTCTGGGCAACGGCCTGACCTTCAGCCCGGGACTCTCGATCATGTCCTCCTACTTTGTCGAAAAACGCGCCTTCGCGGTGGGAGTAGCAGCGGCCGGAGCCGCGACAGGCGGTCTGATCTACCCCGTGCTGGTGAACCAGCTGCTGTACACGCAGCAAATCGGGTTCGGGTGGACGATCCGCGCCGCGGGGCTGCTGATGCTGGTGACGCAGATGCCCGGGGTGGTACTCTTCAAGCCCCGTCTTCCGCCTCGACGAACAGGCCCTCTGATTGAATGGAACGCGTTCACCGAGCCACCCTTCCTCTTCTTCACCGTGAGCATGTTCCTCAACTTCTGGGGGTTATACTTTGCCTTCTTCTACCTCGGGACCTTCGCTCGGGACCGCCTCGGGGTGACGGACACGCAAGATCTGATTCTGGTGTTGAACGGCGTCGGCATTATCGGACGTATCGGACCTAGTCTTGTCGGGGACCGGCTGGGCAAACTCAACGTCTTAATTCCGCTTAGTCTCGCCTCCGCGATCGTGATTCTATGCTGGATGGCGGTCCGCACCGTCGCTGGACTGTACGTGTTTGCGGTTGTCTATGGGCTGGTGGGCGGCGCAGCGCAGTCGCTCTTCCCCGCTACTGCTACGACGATGACCCCGGATATCAAGCGGACGGGCACGCGGATTGGGATGATTCTGAGTATTGTGGGCTTTGCCACGTTGACGGGGCCGGTGCTGGAGGGGGCGTTGATCTCGCGGGACGGGGGCAGGTATATCGGGGCGCAGATCTTTGCGGGGGTGTGTGTTGTACTCGGTGCGGGGGCTGCGTTGGCTGCGAGGGTAGCAAAGGTTGGGCGGGAGTGGAGGGCAAAGGCTTGACTGGGTTGGAGGTACTTGGGTATCAATATCTGACAATTGACAGGGTGTAAAGAGTGAAAGGGCTGAATAGGCATCGTACTCACCGGATGCGGTTAGAGATAGACTTAGAGGGCAGCGGATGTAAGTCGACGACAGCTAGAATTGCCAATAAACCAAATCATGTCTATAATTACAAATTCAGACGCCCAACTACAAATACATCAGAAGAGTTTCCGTATGCGATCAGCTCCCCAACAGCGTAGATAACTTCGCCTTCCAATCACTCACCATCTCCTTTGCCTCAGCCGCCTCAAGCCTCGACCTCTCCAGCTCCGCCTCCAACGCCTCATTCCGCGCCCGCAGCTCCTGCACTTCCTTCCTCGCACTCTCCAGCTGCGCCGCCGTCGCACGCAGCGTCTGCATCTCTTGCTCCGACGACCGTCGATACTCCACCTCGCGCCGTAGCGCCGTCAGGCTCATATCCCGAATCTTGATGATCTGCTGGCACCGCAGATTCTCCTCGCGCAGGTCCTCGTTCTCGAGCCGCAGCGACGCGTTTGACTCTAGCTCGCGGTAGAGGACGTTCAGCGAGGCGTCAACGTCGGCGGGGAGGTTCGTGTATCGGGACTTGCGGTTGCGGCGGGCTGGCGGGGGGGATGGGTCGGGGTACGAGGCTGGGGTAGTGTTGTCGCTGGCTGGATTGGGTTGGTGTAAGAGGCTGTGTCCGGGGAGCGGGGAGAAGATGGGCGGTTTGGTATGAGATAGACTCCCATGAGGGAAAGTTGTAGAGGACAGTGTGCTAGGTTGGAGGGCGGGAGAGGCGGCAGAGGCTGCATCAGACGTCCCTATCCCCGTCAGTCGTGGGGAGGAAGGAGGTGTCAGTCTTGGAGGGGCGATATGCCACTCGCGCCGGACACAGGCAGAGCAGAACATGCGGTGGTCAGAGTGTCGTATCCAACCGGTCGGCAGACATTCGGCGTGAAATGCCAGTCGACAGGTCACACATGGCTCCAGGTTCTCCTCGCGGAAGCAAACCCGACAGTATGTTTCGTGGATCGACCCATCTCCTAAGTTCGGCAGGTTAGAATCAAAAGCAGTGGATACAAAAGAGAGGGGAGGAGAGCGCACGTTTCCATTGTTTATGCCGTTGGATTTGAGATGCCATGGGCTCTCGCTCTAAGGCGATGAGGGTGTCTGCCCACGAGAGCCGCGGTGGCGTTTCGGGATGAGCGGCCGGCGACTCCGACATTGCCTCTACGTGGGCGGTACGGACACCAACTCGTCGACTGTCTGAGCCACGTGTAGGGCGTTTTGAACGTGTCTTTCGTACGGCCATCGGTGTATGTGGTTGTGGGTTGAGGGGCGATGGATTGAAGATGTTCGCACGTTTCTGTTACGGTCAACAAGCCGAGGCGGGAGTAGATTAGTCGGGAGAATGGGCAAACGGTCTATCAGCACGTGACCGTGTCACACAGTAAGCGGTTTAGAATTGGCAATGATGACAAATTTGACACAACAACTAAAAGATAATCAACATTATCCAGTCCAAATTAGCTAGTCTCCTGTAGCACTAGCAAGATCGATCGTATCTTCCAAAAAATAAGCCTGTAGCTCTGCCTTCAAAAAGTCGACCCATTCCTCCACAGTCTTCACCTCCGCAAACAACGGCCAGACTAAATCGGTCGCTGCATCCGTCAGCTCCCTAGACCACCCGGCCGTGGCATCCTTGCTACCAGAGTAGTGCTATCAGCATGTGCAATACCGATCGAGGAGCAATGTTCTTACAATAGAGTCACATTATATCCTCTGTATAGTTGAACAATCCCATTAGTATCGCACAGACCTCATATTTCCACTCCTGATAAAAACTCACAGCTCATAAGCATGCCGGGCGGTGCTCTCCAGACAAGTATTAGCCGTCAACCCGGCAAGCACAAGGTTAATTTTCTCGCGCTGGCGAAGCTGGAAGTCCAGGTCGGTGTTCTGGAAGGAGCTTCCCCAGTATATGCACATGAGCGACAGCTCAGATAGATGGCACAAAATGCACACTCACTTGCTGTTCCAGTGTCGACTCACGACCACATCCCCGTTGCTGGCATCTGGTTCCAGACCTTGGTAGATTTCAGCACCAAACGTGCCTGCTTCGAACAACTTGATTTCCTTCTGCTTGACGTGGTTGGGGGTCATGTGCCGCCATTCCTGGAAGGCAGTGGGGGTCCAGTGCTGGTGAAGTCCGTAGTAGATTGGGATTTTATGCAGACGGGCGGCAACCACGGCTTGCTCGATGTGTTTAATGGTCTCTTTCTCCTCAAGGTCTCTCAGCAAGGGTGTGAGCTTGCCGCCCGGGTGGAGGAAGTCATTGTAAGGGCCGATGAGGATGAGGGCGGTTTTGGAGAGGTCGGCCATTTTATTGAGCTGTTGTTGAAGTTGCTACTGATCGAAATCGTTGTTGCAAATGTGTTATTCTCGCCAGCTTTCCAAGACCAGTCATTAATACACCAAGGGAGGGGGCTATGGTGTGCTAAGACCGGAAGTTCTCTTGAATTGGTCAGCAACAGCGTTTGTCAGAACCTTGAATCAGGTCGGAGTCTCTGGAACCAAGAGCCAGCAATTCGTATTTCTGAGTGATCCCCGACTTTCAGTACATACACTCAGGTCTGGTAACCTACCGGGTGCGACGCTGCTTACCAAGTCAGTGTTTCTGTCCGGCAGTACCAGCATGGCGTCTGATCCGTGCTGACAAATTTAAGCACCATTCGTTAGTTACGCAGTTATACTGGCGTAGGACTGAGTACGTGCCTGGTTCTTCCTCACCAGTCTTCCCCAAGGTACCCAAACTCCTCATCTACAAAAACAGTTCGTCCTCCACGTCTACGTCCACTGATCATATGAACAGCGTAAAAAGCCCAATTGCCGTCATCATATCCCAAACCGATCACCATCAACATACAGTCACGTCCTGATCAACACAACAAAGTTTTACCACAAAAGATGGCTAGATCAAAACAGCAAGTCCATCGCAAATTCCCCATCATCATGCTGTCAGCTGGGTGCTAGTATTGCCATCAAATGCCAACACAATCCTCAAAGTCCCTCGCTAACATTCTCACAAAATGCATTGCCCAGAAACCAACAATCCACCCCCGGACACCCCAGAGTTATTCTAAAGCGAAGCCTTCAACTTCCCCTCCCTCTCCGCCGTCCAAGCCGCAATAGCATCCATCAACCCGGGCGCCAACACATCAAACGTCTCCAACCCCAACTCGTGCAACCGACCCCGTACCACCTCCATCTTCTGGGGTGGAAACCCCTGCTCGATGATACTCGACACAAAGCCCGCAAACTGCACCTCCTGCCACCCCTTTTCGTCCGACAGCTCCACATGCACAAAGTCCAGCCCCTTGAAAGGATGATCCTTCTCGATGCGCCCGAACAGATGCACCCCGCAGGCCGTGCAGGCGTGGCGCTGGATGACGGCGGCCTCGTCCACGATGGCCAGTTTCTCGGCGTGCGAGGAGACCTCCACCTTCTCTCGGGGCACGACGCCCACGACCGAGAACAGGGCGCCGCCCGGTTTCCAGCATTTGGAGCAGCCGCAGGCGTGGTTGTGGGCGACGTTGCTGGTCAGGGTGACGGTGACGGGGTTGGTGGTGCAGTGGCATTTGAGGGTGCCGCCGGGGAAATTGGGGTTGCCCTTTTGGATGGGTTTGCCGAGGAGGGGGTGGAGTAAAATGGCCATTTTGGTAGATTCTTTTGTCTGTTGGTAGGGCTTGGAGGATGAAAGAGAAACGGTAGCAGGTAATTTCACTTGAGGAGGTGAGAAGGTGAGGACTTTGCCGACGAGCTCGTCAGACTATTGACGGCGGTTATATAGCCCAGGTTCCCCTCAGAAGATGCAGAAAATGCCTGCAGCATTCCCCCGTCCCCTCATGCGGGGACATACACACTGCGGCCAGCCAATGTCGCCATTTGCACGGCCATCCGTGCCCACTGCGCAGAATGCGGTGCCGACCGGGTAAGTTAACCCGTTTAGGCGGTTGGATGCGCGATCGCATTCCCAAACACCAACGGGATCTCATAGCGATTTCCACTGTGTACACTATGGAGACCCGCGCCGCGGGAAAAGTAACCGCCCTCGCGCGGTCGGCCCTAGCCTAACTTGTTGGTGATCGTTGGTATTCCTCTTAAATACAATGCTGCACGCTTGCTGCACGCTTCATCGCTCACAAACTGTTTTATTGCTAGTATATACAAATCCGATCAAACAATGGCATCTCCACCGCCGCACGGCCAGCTCTTCTCCGCCGCCTCCTTGCTCAACTCCCGCTCTCGCTCCTCCCCTTCCCCGGACGGCGACGATAACGCCTCCATTTCCACCATTCTGGCATGCTCATCCCCAGAGGCAGTCTCAATAGTCACCAGATACTGATCCGTATCGCCGGATTGCCGACCACGCTCCCGCTCTCTGTTGTGTCCCCCGTTCGAACCGGACTGCCCCGTCGGCGTCCGCGTACTGTGGCTGTGGCTGTGGCTCAGCTTCAACGAGCGCAGCTTCCCCGCCAGGCTCGACGGCACCTGGTACCAGCGGAAGAACACCTTGACGGCCGGCAAGCTAGCCGAGGTCACCGCCAGGGCCACCTCCAGCAGGGCCAGCAGCCAGCAGTACCAGGCCATCCAGGACCCGTCGTACGAGGCGTAGAACATACGCCACAGGAAGTAGATGCGAATACCCGCGACGACAGCCGTGAGATATCCGACGGAGAAGACGGCGGTGAGAGCGACCTTCTGGCGGCGGCGCATGTGCAGCCGGATGCAGAACACGGCGGGCAGGGTCGTGGCCAGCAGGTCCTGCGCGAGGCTGATCGAGGTCGCCGCGATCAGGTGAACGCCCTCGTCGTAGCAGTGGTAGTGGTGCGTCAGGGTCCAGGCCGGGTCGACCTGGCGCCAGAAGGCGCGCAGCGGCCGGCACGAGAGGAACAGCGCCAGCACGAAGGCCACGCTGTAGGCCACCACCGACCCGATGCTGACCCAGATCAGCGCGCGGAACCGCGGCGACACCGTCCGCTGGCTCATGCGCCGGTAGAACAGCAGCACCGAGGTCTTGATCAGCCCCGACGCCAGTACGTAGAAGAGTTCCGACGCCGCTGCCACCTTGCGCTCGCCGATCAGGTTCGCGACGCTGTTGTCCCACGTGTGGTATTTTTCGCCGTAGACTTCGCTGGCTGTGGGGTTCGCGGTCAGCCGATGGGTTCCCGAGGAATGGCAGGGTGGTGCTTACCAATCGGGACGGATATGATGAGGCCAAGGGTCGGTAGCTGCATTGGTGGTGATTAGCTTTGAGGCAAGGATGAGGACGTCGCGACGTCACATACCAGAGCCAGCGCAATCAGGATGTCATCGATGCCGCCCGTGTGCTGAATAATATACCGTGCGTACAGCCGCACCAGCACCGTGACAATTGCGATCCCTCCGAAGACTGCAGCGACCACAATGGCTGCCGGGCCATGCGAGTCGGGGTTGACGGTGTTGGGTGCGGGCCAGGACTCGATCACCGACAACGGCGGATTCAGCCCTCCAGGCATGGCGGTTAGGGAGGGACTCAGTCTGGCTGAGTGAACTTCGACAAAGGAAAGGAAAGGAATATCGACAGGGAAGTCAATGTCAGTGTCAATGTCCCGCAAAGACAGACAGAGTGTACCGGCCCTGGCCGTCCGGAACAGTAATGCGGACATGGCGCCATTTAGATACCCTCAAACCCCAATCGCCACTGCAGGGGAAACCCGCGGATCAACAGGGAAGCATCATAAGTCAAAAATCTAGAAGAGGGATCGCGACCACAGGCAAGACTTAGATTAAGCCGACTCCACTGATGTGAGCCATCGACTTCCTGGCGAGCTGCACGGGGCGGGGGGCCTCGCCCATTTTTTGCGACCGAGCGTTAAGGTTGAGCAGGTGAAACGGTCACCGTTTGAGTGGACGACACATGCACCTGCGAATGGCACCTGTCACCGCGCGCCCCAACCAGCAGCAAGCACTGGAGTGAAGTGGAGATCTCGATGCTGCAAGACCCATCTTTGTGATGTGTCCACCACTGACAGCCTCATGCGGCAGGAGGTTTTCTTCGGCCGAACCAAGGCCGTCAGAGTTTGACAGCAGAGTCGAGACACACCCGACACCCAGAATTTCAGCCTGCAAAACGGAATCCAATCCGTACTAGAGCCGGCAGATCTTCCGTAGGGCCTGTATTACCTCTGCTAATGAAAAGAAGGCGCGGGTGCAGTTCCGATAATGGGGGCTGATGTGCTGAAGTGGTCGGCCGGGCCTCCCGTATTACATAGGAAGGGGTTTCGTCGAGGCATCCCCTTAGACTAGCCCTGTCAATCATGCCCAATCAGGCAATTGGAGGCCTATAACGGCTGGAACTATACTTCCGTAATCAACCCAAGAGATGGGGATCGTGACGGCGCCGATGGTGAAGTCATTGGGTCTTCTTCCTCAAACCCCCGGCCCGTGCGATTCGATCCATCACATCCTCCCTCCACAATCAATCAATCAACAATGGAAATCGATCCCCACACATACGCAGCCGTCATTTATTTCATGTTACAGGTTTACAATCCTCTCTAGACGCATGGGAGAAGCATGGTGGTGTTCGGAATATAATAGCAAGACTGCTTAAGCTGGATAGATGCGCTCCTGACCTGGATAGCTCACTTGCTCCTCATTACATCCCCAGTCCGTCACCATCACCATCACTGATCCCTGGCCGGGGGCCAATGGGACAAACCCTCGCGACAACAGACCTCCTTCCAGGAAGGCAATGCCGTGAGGCGATCCACGTACGAGGCCAGATGCGGCCAACTCGTCGCCGGTCGGGGCATGTCGCGCGACCAGCGCATCAGCATCACGGCCAGGAAGTCCGCCGTCGTCAGGCTCTTCCCAACGAGATACTCTGGAGCTTTGTGCAATGAAGGCGATCCGCGGGAGCCCGCTGTTCCTGCCAGTCGTGCGTCCAGTAGTTCCCAGGCCCCCTCGATCCGTCGGCGGGCCAGGGCACGCACCGCGGCCGCCCCTTCGGCCGGTCCGTCCGTGTCGGCATAGAACCAGTCGCGCATGGCGGGCAGCACCGTGTTGGCCAGGTAGATCATCGTCTGCAGCCACTGCGGGCGGGTCGCGGCCTCCTCCACGGCCGGCATCAGCCCGCGGTCGGGATGGCGCTCCGCCAGCAGCATCAGCAGGGCCGTGCTTTCCCCGTGCGCCTCGCCGTCCACGATCAACGTGGGGACGCGCCCGGTCGGGTTCAGTCGGCGGTAGGCCTCGGTGTGCTGGGCCCCCGTGGTGAAGTCGACGGGGATCGCGTCGAAGGGTAGGTTCGCCTCGATCAGCATCCAGTGCACGCACAGACTGGCCGTGCCTGGGGCGTAGTACAGCGTGTACGGAGTGGACGCCATGGATCGCGCGCTACCAGTGGAGATTAGCAGGGCTTGATCAGCGGCGTTAGGACAACGGGCCTGCAATGATTACCGTTCGATGAGCGAGGAAAAATATATTGCAGTTTGAAGCTCTGATTGTCGAATCAATTCGACGTGGTTGACATTGAGCAATGTTGTTCTAAGTCGGTGATGAGTCACCGGCGAAAGAGCTGGCGCATGGACCTGATCCCGCTTTTATCGCGGAAGCCGACCGGAGACAACCATCGAATTTTTGGCGGGTTGCAGGTCTTTATCCAACGCAGAACCCGGTTCATTCCATTCATTTGTGTCATTTGAGTCTAAGATAACCGCATTCTAGGATAATCATCTACCATCTATGAGCAATCGTCTATCCAGATCCAGTCTATCGCTTTCCGTCGTCCAGGTAGTCTTCGTGCCCCGGTCGTCCAGACGATCCGTGGGTTCAATGTCGGGGTCATTCATGATAAAACATGGCAATCATCAATATTCCAGTCACTAGTGCAGGCGCAGCTCTCCATCCACGTCCTCAGCCTTGTCCAGCGCGTCCGCAATGCGCGATCCATCCCCCTCGTACAGCAGCGAATCGTAGACCGTGGCTCCCACGAAGCAGCCGGCGACGGGAGCAAACAAAGGCACAACAAAATAGTAATTGGCAGCGGTGAAGACCTCGCGACCGTAGAGGATGGCCGAGAAGAGGCGCGGGCCAAAGTCGCGTGCGGGATTGATCGCCTAGGAGAAGCCATCGCGGTTAGCATCCTACACACAACTCAAATCACGAGGGCACCTACGTAGCCAGTTTGCCAGCCCAACGCAGCTCCAATGGCGAGCAGAAGCACAAACATGGAGAACTGGGGGGAGTGGAAGCGGTGGGCATTGGCCGGGTCCGAGACACTCAGCGAGCCGAACATGAGCACGGCCGATCCGAGGACTTCCGAGAAGACCGCCTCCCAATTGGAGGAGAAGAAGCTGGCGGGATAAGTGGAGAAGATGCCGGCCGAGTGGTGGCCCTGCGGGCTCAAAATCGATCCCCCCGGGATTGTATATTCCGGGTCCCAGTCGAGGATGGCAGAACGGTAGTTGATGTAGACAATGGCCGCGCCCACGAAGCCTCCCAGAAACTGGGCCAACAGCTTGCCGGGCAACTTCCTCCACTGATCGGGCTGCGGGCGGACGAAGGCCATGACCAGGGAAATGGCGGGATTGCTGGCGGGACTCGGGTCGGCGATGTAGCCGGAGAGACAGACAGCGGCCGCCCAGGCCAGGTTGATGGAGAGCCAGGTGCCATACTGGTAGTCGGAGAGCAGGGCTTGCGCCACGACGCCGTCACCGATCACGATGATGAGAGCGGTGCCGAGAAATTCGGCGACGTACGGTTTGAAGGCGCGTCGCGAGAGACCAGAGAGATGGAGACGCATTTTGAGAGGGAGTATCACTCAGTCAAACAGGCTGTTGATTGGATTGCGTGGAGGGAAGAAGGAGGAGAGGAGAAGGGAAGGAGAAAGTGAGAGAGAGGAAATTGATACCGTGGACAACAGGGGGAGCAGGTGGGGGCCAGTCTATCGAGTGATAACGAGCGATCACCTAGAGAGAGGAGAGGAGAAAGTCCATGGGTTGAGGTGATGCCGTCATTTCCTCGGAGACGCTCCTGCCTTTCCTCACCGCCATCTCGGTTGCGTGAGTTTGCCGTGTTTGCATCTACAATCCACACCATGCCGATCCAGGCTAGCGCATTTATTTGTCCGCTTACTCACCTGATAATTGGCTGTTTGTATTTACATCCTCACTGGAAGACGCTGGCGTACTGTATACGATTTCGCGAGAAGTGTGTGTGTGTGTGTAAGATGTCGCCATGTTTGAGACTTATATATCTTCTATTCTCCTTGAATTTTATCAAGTTGGTGAATGTGACGGGCCCTGACCCAGAGCACCTACCTACTACCTACCAGGAAGGATGGCCTCCTGCAATGAGAAGGGACTTCCTTCCCGGCCAAACTCGGTTATGAATTTGCCCTTCAGGTTCAAGGTTCGGCGCAAAACCATTGAGCTGAGTCGTTTTCACCTTGAAAATCCCCGTCAAGATTCACCTGGTCACCTGGATTATCGATCCTCCACGGCTGGGTACTCTGACTCGCTGAGCGGTAATTGTCGAGAGTATTATCCCGCTCCAAGAGCCACAGCGAGATTCCAACTTCAACCGATCGACACGGTCGTCACTATGGAGCCATTGTATGGCCCCAATCCAACAGCCGCGCACGTCGCAGCGATGGCAGCTCACATCCTGGACAGTTTCGGCCGCATTCCTTACCTACTTTGGGGCCGGTTGGCTGTGCGACTGGCCGGAGGCCGCGACCGGAGCCGCAACCCACACCTACCTGACAGTGAATGTTCCTTCGTTGTCGACGATGCCGATCTGAGGCGGGCTGTTCAGGTCCTAGTGTCTGGCGGCTTCATTCAGTGCACGCGCAGACGGAACTGTCACTACCGTTTCGGCATCCCGGGCGTGCGACTGCCATACAACGATCATCTGCACACTTCTGAGCGCAATGAGCATGACGCCTGACTTTTGCTCTATGACAAGTCCCGCATCATCCCCGATCTGAACGGAGCGATGATCCCGGGGCTCCTAGGCCCACCCGCGCCACTGGTGCCGTACATGCTTTCAAGCGATCCGGACACCGTGCCTCCGCGCAATGGGGATCGAGGCAGTGGGTACTGGCGCGGGCTGTGGCCAGTGCGCACGCTGAAACCGAACGCGCTGACCGCGGCGCTGTTGGACTGCATGCTCCGGACTTATGGGGGACTACCGGGAGTCCAGAAGGGCGAGATCCTCGTAGAGTGGCTTGCTCTGCTCGTGTCGATGATAGAAGCGGCCTATCCCCCAACGATGAGGCTGCCACCGCACCTTCGAGCCCTGTGGAGAGCGTGTAACTCCCGATTGATCGAGGAGAGGTGGCAACCGATCTTTCTGACGCAGCTGGTGTCTAGAAACTACGAGCACATCCCGCACCCGGGTGCTGAGGAGGAGAATGAGGACGATGTAGCCCGGAGGGCGCATTTCATGGTTTCCAGAACGCAGTTTGTAAATTACACTAGATGGCAGTGAAGAGATCGGGATATGATGGGGTTGACCGGGATGACGGCGCATGGAATTGCGAATGGTATTCTTGTGTTTCTCCAGTAGTGTAGCAAGAAAAGCCAACCCTATATTGCCGTCGAGAAAAGTACGTTTGTGTCAAGGTAAGTGTTATGATTATCAAGGACGGAATCACTGCAGGTGGCATTCTCAGCTGGAGACCAGGGCGCGCCCATCTTCCATCCAGGCAAGGTCTTGGCAGGAAAGCGCCACTCACCAATTGGCTGAAATGTAAACAGAGTCACACATGCTCCTCTCCAACTCAACGGAAGCCTTAAACCTACTTCTCGCGATTCAGCCATGTGTCCAAGAACTCTCTTTCCCATGGTATACGCGGACGTTTTGCACGAGAGCTTGAAATGCAGAAGGGAAGGTAGTGATGAACAAATTGATTAAATCGCTAGTCTGACCCTATCAACTCAAAAGAACATGCGGCTGATGGTGACTTTTCTCCACAGCACCAGAAAGAAACTATCCAGCTAGATTTGTGCATCGATCAACACCTTGAAAGCCTGCAGCAAATCGTTCTTCAAGTCCTCCCAGTGCTCCAGACCAACACTGATCCGCAGCAATTTCCGATCCACGCGAGAATCGGAAAGCGCGCGCCACTCGATCAGCGACTCCACACTACCTAGACTGGTCGCATGCTGGAAGAAGCTCAGCTTGCTGGGCAGGGTGCGCGCAAAATCCTCCTTGTTCAGCACAATCGCGAAAACCGGGCCGAACCCGTTAGGCATTTGTTTCTGCAGCCATGGCTCATCCTGCAGGCTCGCATGGTAAATTGTGCCTACCACGGACTGCACAACGCTCTCTTCGCTGCCGGGCGCGGGATTGGCGGACTTCATGGCCTGATCCAGCCAGGAGACCAGCTTGCCGCAGGTCTGGCTAGCACGCTGCACGCGGACCTCCAGAGTCCGTAGACTCCTCACCCCCAACCAGGCCTCCAGGTTTCCGATCACGTTGCCCACGGCCAGGCGATCCTCGATTAGCTGCTTCTTCCACTTGTCGTCCTTGGTAGCGAGCACGCCACACAGCATGTCGCTGTGACCGCCAAAGTACTTGGATCCCGAGTGCAGAACCAGGTCTGCTCCCCACTGGAAGGGATCCTGCAAGCCGGGTGGCGCAAATGTGCTGTCGACAATCAGGTATGCGCCGCGGGAGTGCGCCTTCTTGGCATATGCTTCAATGCTGAAGGCCGTGCCTAATGGGTTAATCGGCGTCTCCAGAAGAACGACGTCGCCTTTCTCCAAACCCTCAGCAGGGCAGTCTAAGTCAAGCTTCTGCAGCCCCGAAAGGCGGGAGATCACGGCGATGACTTCATGGCTGCCGTGGTAGCCTTGTCCCACAGCAATACGTCGAGGGTTCAGCAGAGTCAGCGCTGCGGTGAGAGCTGCGAGGCCGGTGGCGTAGCTCACGGCATGTCCTCCGATTAGACTGGTCAGGATGGATTCGAAGCGGGTTGCATTGGGCGCGAATTCGCGGGAATAGACGTAGTTCTTGCCGGTGAACTCGTCCTGAGGAAGTTAGCCACAAATTATACGAACCCCAGGAGCCACAGGCAGCCACATACAACTGGGTCTACAGACGGAATCAGGTCATCAGGGTTGTCTGGGAAGCGAAAGGTGGTCGAAAGATGAATCGGTGGAGCGACGTCGGTCACCAGATGCAGAGGGTCGTCGGCATGAAGTGCCAGTGTCGCAGGATGAGTTTGACTTGGAGCCATGTTGGACGATGTAAGTGAGCGATCTGAAAGTGGTCGGTCAGGTTGAAGTCCTCCTCATGTGAAGATCTCGACCTGAAGCATCTTATATGGATCTGATGGTGATGGTGTGGCGGATGACAAAGGCCCCACTCCCCTCACTTTCCGTATGCGGAAAGGCCTCTTTTGCCCGGGCCCCACCACATCCACGGCTGCTGAACAGGTTAGCCCCATTCCAGCCTGAGCATCCCAGCCACAACCTGCACGAGCCACAGGTTAAATCAGAAGCCAGTCACGCCCGGACAGCCCAATGTCAATGACCCACGGCGAGGAGTTCTGTGCTTGACGGCCACTGCGCTGCCAATGTGCTTGCAAGATCTTGGCTGCGTTGATCACGTTGATACATTTCGTTTTGTCCCAGAATTGCTCGAGCGACTGAATCAAAAAATCTCTTTCCCTGGCCTGGTGGCACTCCAAGCCTGCAATACAGATCGGCCAGAGAGCGCATTTGAGGAGATTGTCGCTGGCGCAGAGCGCTTCAATGGACTGGATCAACCGGGTCAGAAGATCGGTTATTGAAGTGTTCGTGTGGCATAAAGTGTCGAGAACGCGCTGCCCGTAGATCTGAGCCCCCAGCTTGTAGGATGCAGCTAACATGCAAAGATCATTTATCGCATTCTCTTTGGTGCGATCAGACTGCGGCAGATTAACAGCCCAGGCCCAGCAATCAAACTCCGTCACCATTTGGACGACCGATGCCACGTTGTACTTATGGTACTCCAATGTCTCCTGGTCGAAAGGGTCGTGGATTGAGTCGCGAGAGAGCGAGATGCATCGAATGGCAATCAACAGGTAGTCTGGGCAGCCAAGGAACGATCGTTCTACGGCCTCTGTTTCCTTACACACCACGCGCGCTTGATCTAACGGGTTCGAGTCCGTCAACAGGTTGGGACGAACGAAGGTCGCGCCAAGCGTCTCAATGCTGCATTCATCAATCGTGGGTCCTGAGAATGTTGACGGTAGTGACTTACAGGTATATCTGACTATTGATAAAATCTCGGATGAGCTTCACCGTCTCCCCAGGCTCGTGAGCTTGATGCTGACTGAAACCGATCAGCTTCTTCGCACCCTCGAGATGAAAATTCCACCGATCGCTTCCAGACTCCAGTAGGTCGAGAAAGATCAACAAAAACACGCTGGCCACGGTGCTGTCTTGGGAGCATAAGACTGGATCATTTAGTGCATTTGAGATTGCTTTGATTGCGCGATGTTTGTATCCCAGGGCATCCTGGTGCACATTGAGGTGAGTGGGTGGCCTTTCTTCGTCGTACCGTTGGAACGAATAGCCCAGATTCGCTCTGTGGCGCGCTGCCAGAGCGAGAGCAGCCTTCATCAGAGTGGTGTCACTCAAGGCTAGCGACAAGAGTTTTCGAAATGGGTTACTACTGCTATCATAGACGATGAAAAGGCTGCATATGCAGTCCTCGTCTGTGAATTGGTGATGAGAAAAATATACGCAAAGAAGTGAAGATTTTACTTACAGTAGCTTAAGTAATATTTCGAAGTTGAGTCCAAGCAGGCGACAGAAGGATCTCCGAGCTCGAACGGCATCGGGAGAGGCGCTGATGGTCATGCACTTGTTAGTGTTCAGACCCTGGGTTTCTCTATCAGGCGGGTGTAGCCATCCACCGTGATCTTACCTATCTTGCTTACATGATCTATGGCTGAGGCAGAGGGTCTGGGGCGAACGACAAAAGGGATGATTGCCGATCCGGTCGAAGGGCCTGCATCAGAGTTGCTGAGAGACAGGCCTTTCCGCTTGCCTCGAATGGAGATGCCCTTGACCCATCGGACGGGTCTCTTGTCCAGGCATTCCACCCCCGCCTTCTTGCATTTTCCGCAGGGTCTTGCCGCCTGGTCGCATTGAATGCGCCGATATCGGCAGGTATAACAGGCCTGCGGGGGAGTCATGTCATCGGGGTTGCAGTCTTGATGACATTGGTGTGCTGTTTATCTATTTTATCACCACCAGTCGAAGCAGAGACCATGCCATGCGACGCTTGTGATAGTTGATAAGGCTTGACATCGGATCATGGCGCAGCTGGTCACGCCCGGCGTCTGGGAAGGGACTAGCCACTTTCGGCCAGACAATCAGGTGACTCAGTGTCTTGTGATGTTGCTCAGTGCATTTTGCCATATTCCGCCGCCTTCTCGCCCGGCGCTTTCCGATCCCACGAAGTGATCAAACCAAACAAGAAAGATGCTGAAGCCCCCACACACTAGAGGTACAGCACACGTGTGGATTCGACAGCGACATCTCCAAGAGCGCTTTCTTTCCATGAGCCTCATGGAGTACAAATCATATACTCAATGCTGGTTTGGCCAGGTGAATAATAGCTAAGGCGTACGCCCGCACCCGGCTTCGCCTCCACAGCTCTGGTTCCGATATATATGTTTCTCAGGGAAACCACCAAAACAATCTGCTACAAAGGTCTAACCGGGACTGCATCGCAGCAATATAACCGGGCAAGATCAAGCATGGTGCCATGCCAAGTTGACCAAGAGATAATGTCCTCAAATTTGGATATGGACCGCACGGATGTTGTACACAAGCTCTGCCGATCTACGGTATTCTGGCTCCTTCCCGTGTCTGTGTCCTCCAATCCTTCTCTCGTGCAGAAAGTTGACAATAATAGCAAAACCGCCGAAACTTCCTCTCATTTCCATGAGGGAGAAAGAAATCATGCAGAGCTGACATGGCTTAAAAGCACTGTGTCCAAGTCACGTTGAGAGAAAGCGGCAAGGGAGAGCCCGGTCAAGTGACCGCCGCAGCCCTCACGGCCACCAGCTCACCAGCATCAGGGGCATGTGTGGAATAGATGCAGACCTCAACAAGGAGCAACAGGAGCATCAATTCCAATGCACAGAACGCCACCGCGAGAATAAATGGATGTGGAACGAATCTACCCCGCCCCTGCAGATTGCATTGCGTGCTGGACCGATAAGAGTGCAAATTGGGCCGATAAACAAATAGATTGCCAGTTATCTAGACATGCCGAACCACCGCCCTAACGCTCGTCCACCCCCTCTTTCTTCTCGCCCTAACCCTGCAAGTTGCGCGACCGGCAAAGCCCGTTCCTGCAGACGTACCCCCCTTAAAAGTTGAGCCTAATGCCCCTTCAGGTATAAGCTGGCACACCGGTTCTTGACGATGTGTGCGACCCGACTCCACCACGGGCGCGGGCCCGACGCTGTCCGACGGAGGAAGGCGAGGAGATCCGCTTCGCTGCATCGACCGTCAACTTGCGTCCTCGCCAATTCACCTGCAGATACCACCACCCAGTGCGCAATCTTCCCGACCAGAGCGTGGCACAAGGTTGCATTGTGCGCGCCATGACCGGTTCATTTCTTGCTGGGGCGACGAACAGACCCCTCGACGCATTCATAAATTGCTCGCAGCCCCCCCACGACTTTTGCACAGGCCGATCGTGCGACTTTTCCGTGCCTCAATCGCTCGTGCTCACGGATTTTGGACGCTGCGATCATGCGGTTCTGTTCCCCTGTCAGTCTTGTGGCCGTGACGGCTCTGTGGGCATCGCTCGCGGCAGCCGTTCGGCCTCCCCGTCTTGCTCCACGCCCGATCGCTGCCACGAGCCAAGCGAGTGAATCGTCCGTGGTGGAAAGCACGTTCGAGCAGTTGATCGACCACAGCGATCCGTCCAAGGGTACTTTCTCCCAGCGTTACTGGTACAGCGCCCAGTACTGGGGTGGCCCTGGGTCTCCGGTTGTCCTGTTCACCCCCGGCGAGGTCTCGGCCGACGGGTATCAGGGCTACCTGACCAATGCCACCCTGACGGGTGTCTATGCGCAGCAGCTGCAGGGTGCGGTGGTTCTGGTCGAGCGTGAGTTGACCGTGGTCCGACCACGTGTACTGTCCGACTAACGTGGATAGACCGCTACTGGGGTGGTTCCTCCCCTTACACCAACCTCACCGCGGAGACCCTCCAGTACCTCACCCTGGAGCAATCCGTTCTCGACCTAACCTACTTTGCGGAAAATGTGAAACTGGGGTTCGCGCGCAACAGCACTAGCAGCAATGCGCCCCACGTGGTAAGTGGCCTGGCTGCTTGATGATCTGGATGACACATGTTGATGATCTGCTACAGCCGTGGGTGCTCGTCGGTGGCTCTTACAGTGGAGCCCTGACGGCCTGGACCGAGCATCTGGCTCCCGGGACTTTCTGGGCGTACCACGCGACCAGTGCTCCGGTCGAGTCGATCTATGATTTCGTGAGTAGACTGGCGCCGTGGCTAGGATGCACCGTAGCTGACCGAACAGTGGCAATACTTCCGACCCATCCAGGATGGCATGGCCAAGAATTGCAGCAAGGACGTCTCGCTGGTGGCCGAGCATGTCGATAAAATCGGCAAGACTGGCACCAAGGCTCAGCAGACGGAATTGAAGAAGCTGTTTGGCCTCGAGGCTCTCGAGCATTTCGATGACTTCGCAGCGTACGTCGTTCATGTCATTCCTTTGGTGCGAGCTGAGTGCACGGCATACTGACCATAACAGTGTTCTGCCCATTGGGCCTTACCTCTGGCAGGACAACACCTTCGCGACCGGCTACTCGGACTTCTTCGCTTTCTGCGATGCTGTCGAGGTATGTTGTAGCATTATCTTGCCTTGTTTAAGGAAATTGCTGACCAGTAACAGAACGTCGAGGCCGGTGCCGCCGTGACCCCCGGGGCGGAGGGAGTCGGCCTAGAGAAGGCTCTCACAGGCTATGCCAACTGGTTCAAGAACGAAATCTTCCCTGGCTGTAAGTTGCCCACACCAACGAGACCAGCGCGCAGCTAACTCCAGAACCTCAGACTGCGCTTCGTACGGCTACTGGTCCGACGAGTACAGCGTGGCCTGCTACGACACGTACAACACCACCAGCCCCCTTTTTACGGACACCTCCGTCGACAACGCCGTCGACCGCCAGTGGCAATGGTTCCTGTGCAACGAGCCCTTCTTCTGGT